AGGCCAGAAATAGCCTGTTCCGAAACCCAGTTTTCGTGCCTGAATCTTAGGGCAGGTCAAAACAAACGAGGGCCTAAAAATAGCCCAGGGCCTAAGAATAGCCCTCCGTTTCAGGCTGGAAAAACTCTGGGTCTGAAAGACCCAGAAATAGGCTGAAACGGAGTAGGGCCTGCAGGCCCTCGTTTTTCAGTTTTCAGGCTGAAACGACCGGGGCCTGTAGATCCTAAGTTTTAGGCTTTTAGGCTGAATGTCCGGGACGGGTCCTGCAGGGCCCATGTGGCTACGCAGTATGCCACATGGTCGGTCTTGGCACTGGCAGCTCCTTGTGATCCACGATGTCATCGATGTCCACCTCTCCATCCATGGTTGGGGGCAGCATTGAGCGACGTGAGGGAAACTGGTCTGTTTCCTTGAAGGGTGCAAGCTTAGAGGCGTGAAAGATAGGATATGTGTGGAGATGGGATCCGGATTACGTAAGAAGGCCCTTCCGGATCCTTCCCGACTATATCTAAGACCTCCCATGGTCCAAAGTATTGAGGCATGAGCTTGCGGGAGATCCCGTGCTCCTGTCCCAATTTTGAGGACTTAACCCTGACTCTGTCCCCAACCTGGAAGGTAGATGGGCGGCGGTGTCTGTTTTCAGATTCTATCATTGCCACCTGTGCCTTTTGCATCTGTTCTACTGCCTGCATCTTCTGTTCGTAACGATAAGCGAACTCCAAGGTACCTGGTGCAGCAGTTGGCTGGTTTTCAGGAAGGAGAAAATCTAAGGGCAGTCTAGGCTTGAAGGTCAGTAGTAAGCTGTTTGGGCTCACCCCGGTGGCGCTGTGTACAGCGTTATTGTACAGGCTGGCGATGAGAGCAAGCTTCTCATCCCAGTCCACCTGATTGGGCTTGATGTAATGCCGCAGCAGGTGTTGTACAGCGCGGTTCAGTTGCTCGGCTTGGCCATTGGCCTTTGGGTGATTCCCAGAGGTCATCTGCAACTGTGTTCCCTGTCCGGCAGAAGCGGCCTTCCACAACTCACTGGTGAATCAGACATCCCTGTCACTCACGATGGACTTAGGCAGACCAAAATCCCTGACCCAGTTTCCCTTGAAGAGTCTGATTACGTACTCGGTCTTTGCAGTCTCTGGCATGGCTATCAACCTAGCATACTTACTAAACCTATCCACGATGACGAAGATATGTCTCATCCCGCTCTTGCTGGTGACCAGCGTATCCATGAAGTCCATGGACAAACTCTCACCAGGGCTGCCTTTCCGGAATCGGAAGGGGCTTCAGGAGTCCAAGAGGAGCTTGAGTACGTGGCTTGTCTCTCTGATAGACCTGACAGGTCTCCACGTATAGCTGGGCATCTCGCATCATCGTGGGCCACCAAAACCGCTGCAGCAGATTGGCTGCTGTCTTTTTATAGCCAAAATGGCCGGTGGCATCATGACACTCACCTAAAATAAACTACGCAAAGGCTCTCTATTTGGGACACACAATCGTTTATTCCCTGCCTTCTCAAGGAACAACAAGCCGTTGACCAACTCAAACTCGGCAGAAGTCTTCTCATCCTTCGCCTCAAGTCTGCGTATGATCTTAGACATGAACTGGACCTCGCGATAGGCTTCCACCAAAGAGCGAGTAACATCGTTCGGAAGATCGAACTCAGTAATCAGCGCACTTGAGAAATCAAGTCTACGCGACAGCGCATCAACAACCTTGTTGTACTCGCCCTTGATGTACCGGGGCTCGAAGTCATATTGCTCTATGATTTCAATCCAACGCTTCAGAGCGTCGGAGAGCACAGGTTGGGTTCTCATCCACTTCAGGGTTTGATGATCAGTCCTGACTTAGAAGAACCTCCCAAGGAGATAGTGCCTCCAATGGGTGAGTGCCTTGTAGATCGCATAGAACTCCTTCTCATAGGTGAACTTAGCCAACTTTTGAGAGGGCATCTTTTTGGACATGTACTCTACCGGCCTCAACGTTTTCCCTTCGTGCTGTGCAAGTACGGCGCCTATGCCATCTGTAGTTACTATAAATGGCTTGTCATAATCAGGAAGTTTCAAGACCTCGTGATGCGTCAACGCATGCTTCAAATGTCTGAAAGCAGCCTCGCATCTGTCTGTCCACTCCCATGGGGTGTCAAGGCGAGTTAGGTCAGTCAAAGGGGCGACAACTATGCTATAGTTCTTCACGAAGTTGCGATAGTAGCCGGTCATCCCTAAGAAAGACCTCATCTCAGTCAAGATTGAGGACGCGGCCAGTCACGAATGCTGGCCACCTTCGCGTCATCGGGCTTTAATCCCTCTGCGGAAATCTCATGACCTAAGTACAAAACACGGATGCGGCCAAACTCACACTTCTCACCGTTGATCTTGAACTTGTGCTGTCGCAGAAGACTAAGGACTTTGTCCAAGTGCGCAACGTGCTGTTCGACAGTCTTACTAAAATAAGTATGTCATCGAGGTACACGATGACAAACTTATCCAAGTAGTCATGAAATATCCGATTCATAGCGTGCTGAAAGGTGCCAGGAGCATTGCAAAGGCCGAAAGGCATCACCACAAACTCGTACAGACCGTACCTGGTCTGAAAAGCGGTTTTGTGTTGATCCTCGGGCCGGATTGCAATCTGATGGTACCCGGACTTCAGATCTATCTTACTGAAGTACGACACCCTTGCACTCTATCTAGCAAGTCATCGCTGCGCGGTAGGGGCTCTCTGTTCTTGACAGTGATGGCATTGAGGCCCCTATAGGCAATGCACATCCTAAGTGTTCCTTCCTTCTTCTTGGGTACAAACAGGACCGGAGACCCATAAGGAGAAACACTCGGCCGGATCCAACCCTTTTCTATGAGTTCCTTGAGTTGCCGGCGAAGCTCATCAAGCTCGCTTGGAGACATCCGATAGATCCTTCCCTTTGGAATGCTAGACCTTGGGATAATCTCTATCGCTCGGACGACCTCCCTCTCAACAACCCCTGTCGACTCTTCAAATAGATCAGGGTATTTAGCAACTACTCCCTCTATCTCCGACGGCATTTTCACCGGCTCGCCTGCAGTAGAGACAAACTAGATACATACCCTCCTCCTGATTTTGCTTATAGTAATTATAGAACGCGGCCGCACACATGCATCCATAGGACTGAATCAGACTACTAGCTTTGAACTTACGTAATCTGGCGGTCCCTCCACCTGACAAAGTGTGTTTGACCACTTTTCGGTCCCGGTCAAACTGGGGCTGTGCTACAGAGAGGTAGTACATACCTAACAAGATATCCATGGGGAGTTCATCGCTCACTAGGAACGAGCCACGATGTTTCAATTCCCCTCCGGCGTATGGGAAACAACACTCAACATCCTGGAGGTAGTCGTTGACTACCATGCGCTGTTTGTTGGCACAGGTCGACTCCACAGGTCGACTGAGGCGCTGCACTTGCCCTTGTAAGCGCAGCCTCTCAACGCACGCGCGACTAATGAAGTTTCATGTCGAGCAAGTGTCATAATAGGCCCTGGCCTTGCGGCCGCTAATGACCACCTCGCTGACGAACATCTCACCCTTAGGGGCTTTGACCAATGCCGTCCAAGAAGCTAGCGGGTCTGATCTAGACCACTTTTCCTCTAGCTCCTCTAAGGACTCAAACACATTCATCGAACAGAGGGTCGATGGGTCTGAACGTGTTTGCGGGACGACGATGGATTCAGTAGCTTGGGCCATCTCTCGAGATGAGGGTGTCCACCACCTCGACCCTAGCAGGAACAGCTACTATTCCTATTGGCCCGACGTGTTTCCCGGAGCAGTGCCAGAAGTGCCAGCCACATTGCTACCAACGGGAGTGGAGGATCCCAACGCCTGCCCCATTGTAGGCGGGATCTTGTCGGTCACCTTCTTGTTGCGGCACTTGAATTGGTTGTGGCCATATTGACCACAATGAGTACAGGCCTGCCTGGTGTACCTGTCTCTCCACACGTCCTCACTGAGACCCGCTTTCTCCCATGGAGGAGCATTGGGGTCAACTTGACTCCTTGACCTCCACGGCGTCTACCGGTCGCCTTACCTTTCTGTGCTACGACAGCGACTACTCCATCCCCTGAAGTCTCTACGCTGCCAGCCTCTGAACCTACTCCCGCCTAGAACTCGTCGTCCAACTTGATGGTAGAACCATCGTTGTCGACGAGCATAATGCGACCCTTCGCCTTCCAGTTAGGAGGCAGTGACTTCTTCCTACCATCCGTCGTGGGATGATGTCCATGCACTATCTTTGCCTCAAGGTCTAGGGCCTTCTTGCTGAACGAGGGAAAGTTGTGCATGTTGATGTTGGCCTCACCTGCCAACTGATTCCTGAGAGGCATGGGAAAGCATCTCAGGTAGGAGGTGAGTAAGATCTGGGGGTCATAACGCACCCCAGGTGATAAGTTTGAGTAAGATCCCTTGCTGCAAACAGACCCAACAAATGATGTTATTTTTATTTTGATTAGTTAGATGTACTGCCATTGACATCTGACAGACAGCATAGTTTAGAACTGATTCTGTTCATTGTGCTTTCTGTTTGCGTGCTAGTCAAAGTAGAATAGCATTATTTGTAGGAATCTGAACTTACCTGCTGGACTCGAATGTTTAGTCTCTAATAGAGCTGCCGATTATTTATATCAGTCTCTACATGTTGCTGCGGTAGGCATCCATTGCGTGTCCTAGTGTAGATGGTGTGCAGTTCTGTAGCATATGAGCGATAGGGACAACAGCTCTCCCAAAGTACGAGCAGAAAGTGGCCAATGCCGCACGCTTCCAGCACCAGGTATGTCTCTCGCATCACTCACAACCTCGTTCCCCAACACACAGATGCGACATGCACCCAAGGACCACCCTGCGCCACACCCAGCTCACAGCAGCGCAGCTCGGCTATGGCTGCCTGCTCCTTCTTGCTCGCCYGTGAGCGCGTGAGCGCTGGCCAGCTTCAGCGCAGCAGCACTTGCGCAGCATGCAGCCAGCACCCCAATGTCCAATGCGGAGGCAGGCCCTTTGCTATATGGAAGTGGCCTGCCTGAGTTCTGTCCCAGGCTGCGCTGGGCCTTCCTAAGAAGCTTCCGGTAGGCCCCGGTAGGCTGAGGCCCAGTCCGAAACAAATCAGGCCCAGGGCCTGAGGTGGTTCCTTGTGCCCAACTGCCTTCGGCCTGTGTTTGGCCCACTTCCCGTATCCAGCTCAGGGCCTGCCTTCTATACATGCAAACAGGCGGCCCAGGGCCTGGGTTCTTTCAACCAACTGGCGCTGCGCAGCTGCCTGAATTTCCTTAGTTGCGTGGTGGCCGAAATAGGGGCCCTCAGGTCCTTGTCGAGCCTGCCTTCACTTAGGGCGGCCGACGTGCTGCTTGACAGGGCCTGAAAGGGGCTCATCGAGGCTGTGGCCTCGCACAACCTTCAAAAAATAAATAAATAAATAAATAAATAAATAAATAAATAAATAAATAAATAAATAAATAAATAAATATAGCCTGTAGTGCCCAAAGCCTGGTTATGCACCTGTAGGACCGTGCAAGTTAGTTGGCAGCTCTGATGGGAATTGGTATTTGGCGCTGCACCTGGACAATGTTCAAACGTGGTGTTGGTTGGTATTTGACATCGAGCTGGGAGGAGAGAGCAAAGAACCTGGATACCGTCTGACCTCTTGTGGTGCCTGGTAGGTCCTTTCCAATCAGAGTCTAGGTGTTTGTCAGAGTCGTCAGCATTGTCAGTCGTTGGTAATTAATTAGTTTATCGAGTCTTATTGAGGGAAGTCAATATGCTGATTTGCAGGAAGCCTGATCGTCCAGAAAATATACTCAGGTTGTGGAACTTACCGTAGATTAACATAAGCAGTTTGTTGTGTGGCATACTCGGTCAGACGAGATCGCTTACCTCGCAAACTGGTTGTATGCGACAGTGTTGATCTGGTTCATAGTCTCACTTATTTTGCCCCTGTGTTGCGTACTGGCGCTAATAATCACGATATGAAGACAATAACTTAGGCCTTGGAAAGAAAACCTAAAGAAATTTTAATGAGGAAATCATTTTGGGTTGAGAAGCATCTCACGGGCGAAGGAACCGAACACCATGTCTTCAGTGTGGTCAGAGGACTCCCTGAAGCAGAAGCAGAATTGCGGGACAGTGGAAACTGCCAAGAAACTGTCTGCACTTACCATGGCTGCCCGTGCAGAAGTGTCTTCGATCGGAAGACAAGAACAAGGTACAAGGTGTAAAGTGTCAACGCACACAAACTAGGCTAAAAAAGGGAAAGACAAAAAGAGAAGAAGAAATGGCGAATTCCAATGAGATGAGCTAGAATTGCAAGCAACTCAGGAAAACATTTAGAAGTCGGCACAACAAATGTAACTGCACAAAAAGAAGCAGAAAAAGACAATCCAGCAACAGAAAGAAATTATACATATGGATGGACAAGTCTGTGGAACCGCTGTAGAAGTATTGCTGGTAGAGATCTCAAAATTGTCTTCAATGTTGACCGAAATTCAGGAAAAAGAGGATGAAATCTTAGAGAGAAACGGGACATGAGAACTGAGGTAGAGGTTCTCGAGAAAGTTGTGAAGGGAAAAACCGAGATGGAAGCAAAGAAAGCAACAGGAAAAACTGATGGGTGACGTCATAAATTCAGGCTCCGAAAAGCCTTATCAGATAATCCCTAGTGCAACGTCTAAAGGGACAACAAGAGCCCCACCCAAAGAAAGACCCTGCTCCCGGGTCCAGTCGCCCATCGACTGCCAAGAGCAAGAGTAGTGATCAGAGTTCTTCTTCGCAGTCAGAACCCGAGAAAGGGAAGAAGCTCGAAATGCCTGCTACTGGTAATGGGAAAAAAGGGGAGAACCTACTCTTATGGATTGCTGAGATACAAACATACTGCTGGATGNATGCCTGCTACTGGTAATGGGAAAAAAGGGGAGAACCTACTCTTATGGATTGCTGAGATACAAACATACTGCTGGATGACTCCTATCCCACCTGAGAGCTAAGGCTCGTTTGCAACCTCTTGTCTTGGCGAGGGTGCTAAGCTTCTTCGCAGTCAGAACCTGAGAAAGGGAAGAAGATGGAGGTGGTAAAGCTCGAAATGTCTGCTACTGGCAATGGGAAAAAGGGGAGAACGTACTCTTGTGGATTGCTGAGATACAAACAGATTGCTTGGTGACTCCTATCCCACCTGAGAGCTAAGGCTCGTTTGCGACCTCTTGTCTTGGCAAGGGTGCTAAAAAATGGGTACTCAATGCAGCAAACACTGCTCGATATGGCTACGAGGTCTCTCAGGGTTTAGGGTTTGAGTTTTGCTGATTTTTTTTCTTCTTCAAAGCAAGAGAACCGTCATTTAACTTGCATGTATTCAACAATGCTGTTTTTCTTTTTGTTTTATGTGCTTGCTCTTTGCGTCAATTGCTTAGTGTATTATAGTTCATGGTTGCTTGTTGACCAGTGCAGGTCAAACATGTCCATGAGGAGATGGATTCTGCGGAAGCACTCCGCAATGTTGCCTCCTTCGTCACAGCAAATGATATATTTGTATGTCAATCTTAACCTCACTCTCTCTCTCTCCCTCTCTTGCCCAGTTCTACGTCCCTCATCCTTCCCCCCTTTTTTGATCTTTTTTTTTGTCTCTGTATTCCTCTTAATTCTGCCTTTTGTATCTTCAGACCTCGCAATATTCTTTCTGTCCTGTCATCTTCTCTGCTGGGGCCTCTACTTTTCAGCTCCTGCGTTTTCCTCTCCTTCAATACAGAATCTCTCATCTAAAACACACATTGCTGCTGGCTGTCTGTTTTGCCATCCGTTCAACCTTCAATTTGTCTAACCATCATGTGCTCGCTTCGTCAATGCTCAGTCGTCCTTTCTATCAATTCATCTGTCCGTTTTACCATGTGCCCTCTTCGTACAATTCTGGCTGCACCATCCTTGCAGTGCCAGTGTCTTCAATGTCTTTTCTTTTGTATGCCCCTCTGTGCGTGTGTCTGTGTGTGTGTGTGTGTGGGTGGGTGGGTGCAGAGGTGCCTGTGTGTCTGTTGGTGCATACATGTGTGTGTGTGTGTGTGTGTGTGTGTGTGTGTGTGTGTGTGTGTGTGTGTGTGTGTGTGTTAACGTGCTTTATTGAACCCCACATGGTGTTCCACTGGTGTAATATGAGCGAGAGATCCTCAGAGTGGGTCTGCGAGTGAAGCCAGGGGGTGCCTTAAATTGAAGGGCTGCAGGGGGTTTAACGGCTATGGGGGGGGACTGAATGTGAAACCTAGTGGGATTATAGCTGGGAACCATCATCTCATTGCGAAGCAGATGTTAGAACGCGAATGTTGTAATCGAACATCTAAAGCCTTTCTTTTCTACCCCCAGCCCCCTGCCCATCCTGGCCGTTCGCAACCCCATAACGAGGTGTGCCACTGGGACTCTTTACTCTACTTTTAATATTATCGATGTAGATAACCAGTGAGTGATCTTTTGTCTCATTCCATTTTTTTTTTTTTAACAACTTTTCTGCTGCATTTAACCGTCCATCTTTCAGGTCATCAGTGGAGACACACTGTCGGATGTCTCATTGGGTGCTGTGGCGGCCAAGCACAGACTGCAAGGATTGGTTGCCACTGTGGTTCTGTGCCAGAGGCCAGCCTCAATCTCAGAACCCAGCGCAAAAGGGAAGGTGGCGATTCCCCCTGTGAGAGATTACGTAGGGCTGGATTCAACGAACCAGCACCTTCTATTTTTAGCGAATGGTACCGTTTACCTTTCTCTTGCTCCCACTGCATAGATCCTTTCTCTTTCCATTATCCTTCTCTTTTGTGTTCTGTTCCTTCCTGTTTCTTTTGTGCAATTTTGCGTACTCACGCTCTCCTCTCACCTTTTGTCTGTGGTCACCTCTTTTCTTTCCATCCCTTGTTAAGTGGAAGATTATTCAGATCACGCTCGTTCCTTAGTCTCTCATTTCCACTGTTTCCCTGGTGGCACGCTCACCTTCTTGGCAGGTTTCTTTCTCCTTTGCATTCATTTCTTGTTTCTCTTGTTTATCTGCCTCTGTTTTCCGCGGCTGCCCCTCGGCTGTGACTTCTCATGATCAATGGCATAAAAAGTTAAAAACACTTAAAAAAAAATAAAAAAAATCATCAGGCCAGCTGTCAACTGCCTGCCTACCTGCTCTTCTGTCTCTTGACCCTTGGAATGAAACAGGGCCGTGTGTGATTCTCGTGGCTGCATGAAAGACATTTCTCTGAAGTCCGTCTGCCGTCTGGCTAAAAATAGTTCAAGTGCAGTATGTGTTCTGATCAGTTTAATATGTGATCCTTCATCATTCCAACCACACGATATTAAATTCTAAAAGGAAAAAAAAGAAGAAAAAAAAAAAAGGACTGCATCAAGCATGGTTTCTGCCTGATAGAACTGCTTGGTAAAAAATCAGTCTTTTGAACAGTACGGAGGAGGTAGGAGGGGGAGGAGGAAGAAGAGGAGTCCTTTGAAGTATGGCTCGATGTTGTGTGTGTGTGTGCGTGTTAATAAAAAATCAAATCCGCTCTCTCATTCCATCCACGAATCATCACAAATCATCCATAAAACAAAAAAGGTATAGATAGACGGTACAGTAGAAGATGTGTGTGGGGGGGGGGTGCATGAGGACAATTAGGTGGGGAGAAGAGTGGAAATGGTGGATTATGTTTTGTGCTTTCGTTATCCCATTTCACCTGCCTGGGTTTTCACGTGTGCAGCTGAAGATGTGGGTAAAGGCGAGCTCTCTGTGAGGAAGTCTCTGCTTCGAGCTTCTGGACAGGTAACAGTCCATTGCCAGCAACTTTCTGCCAGGTAACTGTCCGTTATCGGCAACTTTCTGCCAACAACTTTCCCCGTCACAAAATCGTGGCAGGACTTTTTTCTTTCCCCCTGTTCTCCTCGTGCACTTGTTTCCTACCACGCCCTTCACCAATGCAGTCAAACAGTTTTTGGTAATAAACAAATTGATAAAGCAAAGAAATCACTATCGGAAACTCTCCTCCATACTGACAGTAGAAGGTGAAACAACAAATTGGCTGCTGATCTTTTCGTGGATTTTTATGTTTCCTTCTGTAAAATATATATTGCTAGAGTCTGTCCTGAATGGTCACCCTCCCGCCTTTCACACCTGCTGCAGGTGGTCCTTTCACTGGCAGTGCCTCTGAGTGTCTTTCACTAGGTACGTTAAGGAGTTCCCAGCTGTGTGTGTGTGCGTGTGTGTGTTTTGTACATATTGTCCTTCCTGTTACATAACAAGTGCCTCAATGATGGTTGCCCTACCGTCGTCCCCCGAATAGAATGCACGATCATTATTGCTGATAACGACTAGAGGTTGCCCCAAATACAGATATAACAACCGTCACGGTGCATTCTATTCAGGGGAAGTCAATGTGCAGCTCTATGGTGTTTCAATATAAGTTATTTGACCGATCTCTCTCTCTCTCTCTCTCTCTCTCTCTCTCTCTCTCTCTCTCTCTCTCTCTTCTCTCTCTCTCTCTCTCTTCTCTCTCTCTCTCTCTCTCTCTCTCTCTCTCACACACACAGTGCTCTTGCATGCATTATGCTAGGAAAATGAGCGATAGCGAACTTCAGAAACCAAGCAGCATCATACACATGAGACCGGATAGTCGTGACCTCGAACCAAAAGCAGAATTGCAACACGAGTTCCACCAAATAAGAGTACAGCAAAAGCTACTAAGTGACAATGTTGGAATAGTCTCATCATCATTAACAAAGAACCAATGTCGACATCCTATCTGGCGCTCTGCGCCCAGACTACAAATGGCAGATCCTATCTAGCCTATCTACAATGCCGCTGGTGACGTCAACAGCTCCCCGAAGTATGAGCAGATCTCGGCTAATGACATTCGCCTCAAGCACCGGGTATGTCTCTCGTATCACTCACAACCTCGATCCCCCACTCACAGATGCCACGTGCACCCAAGGACCACCATGCGGCCCATCCAGCATACAGCAGTGCAGCTCGGCTATGGCTGCCTGCTCATCCAGCTCGCCCGTGAGCGGGTGAGTGCTGGCCAGTGTCTAGCTCAGCAGCGCTTGCGCAGCATGCAGCCAGTGCCCGAATGAGGAGTGCTCGGGCAGGCAGTTTCCTAAATGGAAGTGACCTGCCTGCTGCGTGCGGCCTGCCTGCACTGGGGCTTGGTCCAGAAACTTCCGGTAGGCCCCGTGAGGCTGAGCCCCAGTCCAAACGAATCAGGCCCAGGGCCTGTGGTGGTTACCCGTGCCCAACTGCCCGCAGCCTGTGTTCGGCCCATGTTGCGTATCTGGCCCAGGGCCTGCCTCAGTTACATACGAAAAAGGCAGCCTGGGCCTGGGCGCTCTCAACCAACTGGCGCTGTGCAACTGCCTGAATTTCCCCAGTTGCATGGTGACCCCAAAAATGGGCCTGTAGGCCTTGGTCGAGCCTGCCTTGACTTAGGGCGGCCGACTGTACTGAAAATAGGGCCCAGTAGGGCGTATCGAGGCCTTGAGCCTCGCAACTATCTTTTCACATGCCGAGCACTCTATGGATGGAGAGGGTGAATATGCTTCTGTAGTGGCTGCGCTAGGCTGCTCAGTGGTGTGGTGTGCCAGTAATCTAACTGACTTTTCACTTCCTTCTGTTCCTTTCGTGCTCGTGTTGTCTTGTCCATGCAGATGAATCTGCGGATGGATATGATGGATGCTCATATTTACATATTTAACAGGTCCTTTACTACACCTCAATGCCTTTCATGTTTCCCCCTAACGGGTAGCCCTCGACTTTACTATATTGAACAGGATTTGAACTCTTGATCTGTTTATCAACTGTATTATGATGTATCAGCTACCAGACAGGTACACCTTCCCAACAGTGTTCTGTAGTCCAGTCCTTTTCTCACATGGCTGCTCCATTGCTTCTCCTGAGGTTTTCACTTTCAGCAGTTATGTGATCTTGTACTTCTCTTCTTTATCTCTCCCTCTCTTCTTCTCCTCTCCTCTTCTCCTCTCCTCTTCTCCTCTTCTCCTCTCCTCTCTCTCCTCTCCTTTCCTTTCTTCTCTTCTCTTCTCTTCTCTTTTCTTCCCATCTCGTCTCTGCTCCTCTTCTCTCCTCTACTCGTCTCATTTTGTTTCGTCTCCTGTTGTCTCGTCCCGTCTCATCTCGTCTCATCTCGTCTCATCTCGTCTCATCTCGTCTTCTCTCCTCTCATCTCATCTCGTTTCGTCTGGTCTGGTCTGGTCTGGTCTGGTCTGGTCTGGTCTGGTCTTGTCTCAATTTTAATATATCGCATTCTATCCTCTACTCTCCTATCCTATCCTATGATACTGTATTCTATGTTTCTGCTCTCTTCCCTTACCTCTTCCGAATCTTAATCGGAATCTTCTCGTCTTGTCTCGACCTATCTGGTCTCATCTCGGGTAGGCTTGGCTTGGCTCGTCTTGCCTTGTCTTATGTCATTCTGTCTCGTCTCTAGTCGTGTTTTGTCTTGATGTTGTCTTCTCCTGTCTTGTCCGATTCCTTGACACCTGTGCCGTCTCATTGAGGTCGTGAAGGCTAATTAAAAAAGGGGGGCCTCATGGGCAAAAAAATGAAGCATTGTCCTCTTGATTGTGCTGTGGCTACACCTGGAGTCTGCGATCTCAATGTTTTTTTCTCTTTTCCCCCCAGAGTGGGGTTGGAAGTGCCAGGTTCTACCTATCAGCAAGGATCAAACAATGACTGTTGCCGCAGACATCTGATCTTTATGAGGTCTGTCAACATACAGAGTCAACGTCTTCTCTCCTCCTACTCTCAGCACTTCTCCCAGATGTGCACGGTTAGCGAAAAATTAGCACAGGTCATGATGTCACTGTTATCTCATCTGTTTGTTAACTTTGTTTGTTTCTTACATCTGGCTCATGATCCTACTGACACCCCCTTGCAGAAGTACCACCGAGCAATTGGTTTGGATCGGAAAAATTCCAGCACGTGTAAACTACTGAACATACTTTCTGCCTTGTCAATCTTCTGCTCAGCAGCTGTCTGTTTTAGCAGTGCCCCATGGGATTATCATCAGAGGACTCGTTTTTGCGACGACTCGTGCCTTTGTGATTTGCACCACCACCTTTCCTTTCTGTGAGTGAATTCTGTGTTTCTTGTGTTGCTGTGTGCGTGTCTCACTTCCCCCCTATATTTGAAGCGGGCTGTGCTTGCCTGGTAAACATGGACTCAAATTTCAGATTTCGATCGTCCTATTCCTTCCATTCTTTGGCGAATATTTGTTTTCTTCGCATGATGCAGAGAGGCTCTGAAGACTCTCCAGCTGCAACCAGGCATAAAGAATATTAGACGTGACTTCATTCCGTATCTTGCACGCACTCAGTTGGTAAGTGCTGTCTATTGGTCATCAGTATAAAGTACTGCACGGTGCAAACTTATAAAGAATGTAAGAGACTTAACTTTTCCATATCTGGCATGCACTTGCTTGACTAGTGCCGTCCATTGCTTGTGCTGTTTTCTTTTCCCCTCTAAATTAATGTGCTGCCCGTGATTGTGTCTCCATTGCTGTGATGCTCTCCTGGAATGATGTATGGTTACAAAGTCAAAGAATGGCTGGAAATAAGAGTATCGTTAGCATCGGTGTGTTTCGCCCACAGCAGTGTGCACCTTGGGGAGCATGAGGAGATGTAAGTAAAAGGGTATATGTATATGTACATGGAAGAATGTAACAGTGCCTTGAGAAAGGGGCACTTTGGGAAGGAAAAAGTGGTGCTATGGTTTTATCGTCCATTGCTTGTATGCATGGGCTACATATCGGAACATGGGAAGGTTGCGATGTAATGGAGGAGGGAATGAGACAAAAGGTAGTTGTCATGGCAGTCCTGAATGTGTGCACATATCTGCACCCCACTGGCCGCAATTTCTCGCTGAATGATGTTGGGAGACACGTAAGAATTGCAAGGCAACCCCACGTGCAGCAAGTAATGAGCCGTCCTATGAATAATAAATACAGGAATCATCTATGGATTCGACTGTGGCCATGGGCTACCTGTCTTCACCCGGATAGAATGCCTGGTCATTGTTGCTGTATCTAGACTGAAAGTTGCCACAGATACAGCCATCTGGGTGAAGACGGTAGGGCTAGCACTAAGTGGCACAAACCCTGATCGTCTATGTATACGCACCGGCGGTGGCCGAGGGTGCGACCCCGCGGTCACGGCGGCGCTGTGGTGGCCAGG